GAGGCGCCGGCCAAGCGGGACTACAACGGCGCCAAGATGGACGGCCGCGGGGACGGCTACCACCACCACCACCACCACCACCATCACCACCACCACCACCAGTCCCGCCACGGCAAGCGCAGCAAGAGCAAGGACCGTAAGGTGGACTCCCGGCACCGGTCCAAGATGTTGGGCTGGTGGAGCTCCGACGACAACCTGGACAGCGACAGCAGCTACATGGTGTCCGGCCGGCACGCCGCCGACCAGGGCACCCAGTACTGCGTGGACGCTCCCGAAAGTGCCTTCAGAGACTTGACCTTGAAGAGTCTAAAGGGCGGCGGGGAAGGAAAATGCCTGGCCTGTGCCGGCATGTCCATGTCTCTGGACGGCCAGACGCTCAAGAGGAGTGCCTGGCACACCATGACCGTCAGCCAGGCCCGTGAAGCCTATCCCAGCGCCAGCGGCACCGAGAAGACCTTGATGCTTCAGGAAGCAAAGGCCAAAGACAGAGCGTACCAGTACCTGCAGGTGAGGGGCTGGCAGGATGAGGGGATTGGGGTGACTGTGAGGCAAACCTGAGCTGGGACCCTCCATCCAGCAGCCTGGGGTGCTGTGGGGATGCTCCAGCTCTGCTCTGTGTCCCCAGCACCTGTGCCCCATTCCCATGGCCCCAGTGTCCCCTTGAAGTCCATCTGCTGCCTCCTGCCCTGTGCTGCATTTGGGGTCAGACAGCTCTGTCAGCTCAGGGCCACCAGCAGTCCTGTGTCTGCTCCCTTCTCACTGCTTTTATCCTGCCAGTGTGTCTGGCTGGGTGCCACTGCCTGCTCATCACTGGGCTCCCTTCTAGGTCACCCCCCTTCCAATTAAAAGCTAATTAACTCTTCTCTCCCTTTCCTGGGGGAAGGAGACAGGGAGCAGCAATGCTGTGCTGGCCGGTGGTGGGGGTGGCGGGGGCCTGTCCCACTAGCAGCAGGGGCATTGGGGCAGGGTGCTGGCCCCATCACCCTGGCTGGGGGCCCCAGGGGACACTGTCCCTCTGCCACTGCCCTATAAGGACCCCATGGTGCTGGCGTCAGCAGCACGTGGTGGCCCTGGTGCCCGATACGTCAGGCGGGTGCTGCGCTGGCATGGGTGGGATTTGGCCCAGACGCTCCTGCCAGAGGGGCCGTGAGGTGGGAGCTGCTGCGCCGCCCCGCGCTGTGGGAATGGGGAGCTGTGCCTGTTAGGAGGGATCAGCTCTCCTGGATTTTGGGGCTTTCCAAAAGGGTCAGAGCCCCTGGGGTCTGTCCCTTCTGGGGCTTTCCAAAAGGGTCAGAGCCCCCAGGGTCTGTCCCTTCTGGGGTGCATGGGGAGGACAGGGGAACCAGGCACACCTGCTGGATTTGGGCTGGATTTGGGCTGGATTTGGCCTGGCTCTGCATCCCACCTGTGGGACCCCGGCCACCACATCCTCCCACATTTGCCTCCTGCTCCAGGTGCCGCAGGACGAGTGGAGCGGGTACCCGGCGGGCAAGGACGGGGAGATCCCGTGCCGGCGGATGCGCAGCGGCAGCTACATCAAGGNATTCCTGCACCTGCCGAGCACAAAAGCCCGGCGGGCTCGTGCTGACAGGCTCCGCAGATATTTTGACTCCTTCTCGCAGCCGCGGCAGCAATATTTGGATCAGCTGAGAGCTTCCCTCCCCGAGCAGGAGATGATAGCTCAGCCCGCGGAGGCAGAGCTGGGCTGGGAGCCTGTTTGTCTGTCTGTCCTTCCGTGCTGCTGCTCGATCCCAGGCCAGGGAGGCAGCTCCATCCCACGCTGCTGCTCCTGCTCCCCGCAGCAGCTGTCTGGGGAGGGGAGAGGATTCATCTGCACCAGCTGCACCTTCCGCTCAGCAATTAGGGAGCCTTGTTAGAGCAGGAGTGGGATCTGAGGATGGGGAGCGGCACAGGATGGAGCCATCCAGCCTCAAAACAGCTGGGAAGGAAGGCGGTGGTGGCGGCTTAGGGTAGATGTGTTCCCAGGGCCCTGTCTGCTGCTCAGGACCAAAACGCCATCACTGCCCACTCCTACATCCCTTGGGGACCCCAATTCGCTCTCTCCTCCAGGGCTGCTTGGGGGCACAACCCCGTCCCACCAGCTCTCCCAGTGTCCCCCGTTTCCAGTCTCCATGGTCAAACCCCCACGTGCCACAGGGAGCATCCCACGGTCACCTTTCCCTGCAGCCAGTCTGGGAGACGTGCTGCCTGCAGCACCTTGCTCAAATATGACAACAAGAGCGTTAACGATGCCTGTTAATTAGCAGAGATACTCTGGAGAATAAGTAATTTCCTCATTTACAGTCCAACCAAAGACAGAGCCTTTGAGGGGCTGCAAGGCACACAATCCTCGATGAGTGCAGGCAGCTCAGCCTTGGCTGGCACAGGCTCAGCCTGGCTCAACACCGCTGTCCATCCTCCTGCTTTCCCCTGGGGCTGCCCTCACGCAGCACAGCCACCTCTGCTCCTGGCTCCCCATCCAGAGGGTTTGTAGGGTAGGAGAACCCTGGATCGTGGGTCTCCATGTGGGGCTGGATGGAGACATCAGAGCTGGGCCCCCCCTGCACCCCGCGGCAGCTCATTAGCGGCGCTGTGAAACGCAACGGCTGAAAAACTCAGCCAGAGCCGCTTTCTAATGGAGAAACACTTCATAATATTTGGTGTTGCAGAAGAAAACAAGGATCTGCTGATGGCAGCATGTCCTCCCTCGCCGTCTGCAGGCCCTGCTGCCTGCATGGCTGCTGGCAGCACCTTCTCCTTGCCATTGCGCCCTCCAAGCACCCGAGCTGGGGGTAACCCCAGGTGCCTGGTGTGGGCACTGTGCTCCTGTCACCACATGGAAAGCCAGGATTCTGGCATTTCACAGAAGCTTCCCAACCTTCTCAGCTGGTTCCTGTAAGATAGCCCCCAATGTTCTGCTGGTTGTGGGTGAGCAGAGGGGATCTTGACACTGTTCTTGTCCCTGTCCCTACAGATGAGCCCGCAGGGGCATCCCGGCAAGATGCCGAGGCTATGGGGTGGGTGCTGAAATGATGAAGGGCTACCATGGGGAGCGTAGCCAGACACAGCCCTCCTCCGGCCACCGCTGCCGCTGCATCCCTGACAACTGCGAGCATCCCGCCGACTGCATCCCCGAGG